AGGAGATAATGTGACAAAACTAGTGGTCACGGATCCCTAAAGAGCGGAGTGTGAAAACAGATGGCTGATCAGTTTACCCAACATCTTCAGAGGGAGTTAGAATTTGGCAAAGAGGTGAAACTCTCAAGCCACTCTTTTGCAGAACTCTCAAGGAGGAGGAGGCCCTTTTTCTGGTGATGAGGCTGCCCTTTCAAACAGACTCTTCTGCAATGGCCCAGACATTGGCTGGGCCAGGCTATAGCCCAAGCCAGACGCTAATGGCTCCTTCATGGGCTGTGATTTCAGTCACTTGCTGCTCTTGTTAAATGAGCTGAAAAACCACAGACAACATACTTCTTGTCATTTTACTGTTCTCAGAAATCTGGGACGATAGGAATGGAAGAAATTTCCAGGCAAGGTCAAACTTAACCTTAGGTACGCACATGCATAAACACACACATGCATGTATGCACATTGGACAACTGAGCCAAATGTATTTTTGATGAATGATTAGTGCATGCTAAGTCACTTCAGTTGGGTCCAACCCTTCGTGACCCTATGAACAGTGACCCCCCAAGGCTCCTCTATCTGTGGGATTCTCCAGACAAGAATACTGGAGTGGGTTGCCATTTCCTCCTCCAGGGGTTCTTCCTGGCCCAATGATCAAACCTGTGTCTCCCCCATTGACAGGCAGGTTCTTTACCACTAGTGCCACCTGGGAAGCCTCTTAATGATTAGTGGGGCTATCCAAGAATCTGGCAGAGTAACACTTGAAGGGGTTTTAGCACAACCTTAAGATTTATGAGTGCTATTAACCTCCTTATGTTATCATTTTTCCAAAATAATTAACATAGCAGCAGAAAGGGGTTTTCCTTAGGGGGTTTCCAAACAGGGGTCTGATCACTTAATCCATCCTTAAGTCTGTAGTGCCAAAAATAATGAACAATCTTATACTCATACCACTGGGGGCCTTTCTACATTAAAAGGAGGATCTGCACTCTGGGGAAGAGAAACAATGACTAGTTCAATTCAGTCATTCACTGAATTTATTATGTGGAGAAAGCTTGGAGGAAAAATATATCTTAAATTTTTAAAATAAAATGTTATACAATTTTAATCAGCACTCATTAGAACCAATTTTAATGACCTGCTAACTAACTTTTCCAAACCCGCTAAGTTCCGAGATGGTAGAACTGTGTCTTATCACTGATAATGACCCCAGTGCTTAAAAGAGTGCCTGGCACATGGCTAATGCTGAGTAACTTCGGAGCAACTGTCTTACTGGGGTTCCTTCCAGCTGACCACTTTGATGATGAGGACATGATGCTGGTGGTGGTGGCAGAACTACATACTTGGGAAGCAGCGTCCATCTTCCTCCAAATGATGCTATCAAACAGTTAAAACTACTGTCCTCATCTTAAAGGGGCTTCCCTGGTGGTTCAGTTGGTAAAGAATCTGCCTGCAATGCAGGAGACCCAGGTTTGATCCTTGGGTTGGGAAGATCCCCTGGGGAAGGGAAGAGCTACCCACTCCAGTATTCTTGCCTAGAGAATCCCATGAACAGAGGAGCCTGGCGGGCTACAGTCCATGGGGTCGCAAGAGTCAGTTACGACTTAGTGACTAAACCACCACATCATCTTAAAGAGGAGGGACGTCAAGGTTAGTGAATCTCTGTTACATGCCAAGGTGATGGTATTAGTAGAACCTGCTAGAAAATGTGAGGGCTGGGACAGAAACTGACATGCCCCTGATCCCCAGTGGAGTCTCAGTTCTTAGTTTCTGTTCTCGTCTGTTTGTCTGTGGCCAGCGGCAGGCTTCAGGTGGTGAGCTTGAATTCTTGCCTGGGGTCAAGAGGAACAGTCCTGAGGTTATTTCAACATTACTTTTGTGTGGAGAGAGGGAAGTGTTTCTATTTTGTACCACAGTCCGTGTGCATCTTCCTTTTGGTGACCAAGCCCTTTGGAACTCACCATTGGTGATGCCAAAATGACTCCAAAGTTTCTCTGTAAGTTCCTTTTTTTGAATCCCACCCTGAATCTCCCAAACACAAAGAGCAGCTCTGTGACAAAGTAGGAATGAAGTACTCAGAAAGGTTCATAAAAGCCAGTGTAACTCGTAATGAAAATGCAGTGTTTCCACTGTGATAAACTAGTAATTAAGCCAGACGGAAAAGGGTAACATTGAGTAAGATATAATTCGTAAAACTGTTTGATGCTCAAGGAAATACAGACCTAATGAAGAGAAAGATAATTTTTAAAAAAATCTGAAGACCCTGAAACTTTTCATAAAGGCTTTAGACACAGATAATGCTGACACTTTAATTCCAGTTTCTCTTTGAAACCTTTCTTTCCTGTTCTTTGTACCTGAGACAAGGGTGATATTACAAGGCATTCTCATACTTGACATCCTCATTAGATTGATTTGGTTCATGTGTAGAACAAAAGATAGAGGGAGATAAAAGGGGAGTGGGAGGGGAGGGCTCCCCTGTGGGCACTGGGCTGGGCTGGGGTGACTGGAGAAGATGAGAGGCAGCGGAAGGGAGGTGTGGTTAGAGATGAGACACTAAATATATGAGCTCCATGTGGAGACCCAGATATGCCCCTTGAGGAAGAAGCTCAGCAGTGATGAGAAAAAAAACGGGAGCACACCTGTGTGCACTACCGTGCCTGTGTGCTTGTGTGTTCTTACATTTGGTTGTTCATTTATTCAATGTATTAAGCATCTTCTTCGTGCCAGAAAAATGCTCACAGATAAAGTCAGGATCCTCACGCAGCTTACAGTTTTGTGGGGAAAAGAGACAATAGATATGCAAACAAATATATAAAAAAACAAATGAAATCACAGATAGTGATGATAGCCAGGATGAAATTGAGACACTAGGAGAAGAAATAACAAGGGCACCAAACCAAGAGAGGGACCTCTCCTAGAGGATGTCACTTGAAAGCCATGTCTGAGGAAGAACTAGAGAAAAGCCATGTCATGAGGAAGAACTAGAAAAAAAGCCATGTCTGAGGAAGAACTAGAAGAAAAGCATCTCTGGGAGAGGGTCCAACAAGACAAATGCTACTGATGAACCTATTTGCTGGGCAGGAATAGCCAGAGATGAGAAGAATGGACATGTGAACACAGGCAGGGAAGGAGAGGATGGGATGAACCGAGAAAGTAGCACTGACATATATATATACACTGTCATGTGTAAAAAGAGATAACTATTGGGAAGCTGCTATATAACACAAGGAGCTTTTCCCAGGGCTCTGTGATGGCCTAGAGGGGTGGGATGGCAGTGGGGTGGGAGAGAGGCTCCAGAGGGCGGGAATATATGTATACATAGGCTGAGCACCTAAGAATTGATGCTTTCGGAAGGGAGCTGGAGAAGACTCTTCAGTCCCTTGGACTGAAAGGAGATCAAACTAGTCAATCCTCAAGGAAATTAACCCTGAATATCACTGGAAGGACTGATGCTGAAGCCTAATCTCCAATACTTTGGCCACCTGATGCAAAGAGCCGACTCACTGGAAAAGACCCTGATGCTGGGAAAGATTGAAGGCTGGAGGAGAAGGGGACGACAGAGGATGAGATGGTTGGATGGCATCACTGACTCAATGGACATGAGTTTGAGTAAGCTCCAGGAGCTGGTGATGGACAGGGCTGCCTGGTGTTTTGCAGACCATGGGGTCGCCAAGGGCTGGATATGACTTAGAGACTGAAGAACAATAGCTAATTCATGTTGCCATAGAGCAGAAACGAACACAAAATTGTAAAGCGATTATACTCCAATTAAAATGTCAGTCTCTCTCTCTCTCTCTCACACACACACACACAAGAACCAAGGGCCTAGAGAGACAAGGAACCTAGCGTGTCCTAAAAATTGGATAGAAAGCCAGTGTGACTGTAGCTCACCGGTTAGCAGGGAGAGAAATGTGTGATGAGCAAGAAGGCATGGGCAGGGTGGGTCCATGAAGAAACCCAGGACAAGCTGAAGAGTCAATTGAATTCTAAAGGCAGGGGGCAGGCCGCTGGGGGTGTTTGAGAGAGGGAGTGACAGGTCAGAGGAGATTCTGAGCCGATTCTAACCAGGCCCCGGCAGGCAGGAGGATAATGTATGGGGTCAGGGACCAGCGTGCTCCTCACAGGGGCGCGTGTCCTCCTGTTCTTGTCAGAGGCACTGCACAGGCTGGTCACCCAGAGTGCTGCTCGACTTTTGGCATTTAGCAGGTGGCAGGACACTCGGTGTGAAGAACGTGGTCTTTGAGAGTTTGGGATTTTACAGAGTGCTAGACAACAAAGGGGGCTTCCGAGGTGGTGCTAGTGGTAAAGAACCTGCCTGCCAATGTAGGAGGCATAAGAGATGTGGGTTTGATCCCCGGGTCGGGAAGATCCCCTCCAAGAGAAATTGGCAAATCTCTCCAGTATTCTTGCCTGGAGAATCCCATGGACAGAGGAGCCTGGCAGGCTACAGTCCATGGGGTCACAAAGAGTGGGACATGACTGAAGTGACTTAACACTCCTACAGGCAACAAAAGTGGGAGACTCACAGAGTACCACAACTTTCTCTTCCGTTTTTGTTGTTGTTTAGTCACTAAGTCTGTCCTAGCAGACAGTCTGTCCTCCATAGCAGTGTTCAGAGCATTAATTTTTAGGAACCATCAAGCCCCCCCTTTCTCCCCCATTTCACAGGTAAGACAAGGTGGGTTCAGGAGGCACATGACTTTCTCAGGTTGATGATGTGATTTAAGGGCAGAGGACCAAGGCCCCAGTCTCCTGACTCTGGGTTCATTCTCCTTCCATTACATCATCATGCTGTATATTCTTGCTGATTTCTTCTGCTCTGCCAGCTTTCAGATACTGTCCCATCTATTCCTGTCCGGGGTGCAAGCCGCTGGCCATTTTCACTTCCCTGCCAAGATTTCTGAGAGCTAAGACACTTATCAAGAAACACGTACTCAGAAAAACAGCGCTCAGCCTGGAGCCTGACAAATTGGAATTCCATTCTTTATGAAGAAGAAGAAGGTGTGTCTTACCTGATCTTCAGATACGCTGCAACTCCAAACACCAGTAACACCACAGTAATGACCATCACCGTGATGGCGGCGATGCTGCCTGGGGAAGAGGAAAAACAGAGCAAGAAGGTGAAGGAAGGGTGTTCATTTCAGATCATTCTGCAACAAACCCAGGGGATTAATTCTGTTATCAAAACACTTCTCAGGTTAGGCTAAGTTCAGTCAATGGCCACTGTTTATTAAGACCTCCTGGGTGACCTGGAGTTCAGAAAACAGGCCACGGCAATATTTGATTATCTTTTTAAGAATACCACCAATCTGTTGCCACTGATGCTGCTGTTTGCAGGCAAAGTGGATTTAAAATCTCCTTAAGCCCCATTTTCTTCTTTAGTATGTTTTAGCTTGTCTTTCTAGCACTCGCAAGATATTGGAAGAGCTAGGATGCTTAATCAAAGATCATGACAAGATAATGCAATTAAAGTTTTAATAAACCAGAACCACACAGCTACGTCAGCGTCCAGTTCAAAAGGGTCATCTTGGTAGGAAATGTGCTAATTTTAACGACACCATCAAATCAAAGCATCATAAAAAATAAAACCCACAGCTTTTATTCTTGGTGAATTTGATTTTGTAGAGGATAAAGTCAAGTTTGGTATATAAAATAAGGTCAAGACTGTTAGGTAACACTATTTTTTGTTTGTAGAAATAACCAGGTACAATTATAAAGTAATATGAATGTTTTATTGTGTAGTTTAGAATCTGGCTCCAAAGGCAACTATTAGGGCAACTTAAACAAAACAAAACAGAACCTTTTGAGCATGTAACCTTATGAGAATAACCACATTGCTTCCACAGATGACTACTTTGGAGCACAGCATGCTTTTTGTGTGAGCTGGTGACTAATAATGTATATATTTCAGTTTTATTTCACCTCAGAAATGCAAGAATCAATTGGGCCCTTGTCTCTTAGTTAAAGTGACTTTTTGGCACTAAAATTGTTATTAGGGGCCCCATTTACTATTTCAGGCCACTGAGAAATGATTTTCTACTTGAACAAATGAATGAGACTCTTAAACACATTGGGAAGAGCTTCAGATCTAGGAGATGTAGATTCAAGTGTGGTTCTGTCATTATTAGCTGTCTGAATGCGGGCTATTAACCCTGTTGACTCACACACGGCTCACCTGCTATGTACACCTTTATCTACAGAAAGAAGAGCTGCTCTACTCGTCTGCATAATTGTAAGAAAATTAAATGAGATGCCCTATGCACCAAGATGGTGCTAGTGGTAAAGAGCCTGCCTGCCAATGCAGGAGATGTAAGAGATGAGGGTTCAATCCCGGGGTCAGGAAGATCCCCTGGAAGAGGGCATGGCAACCCACTCCAGTATTCTTGCCTGGAGAATTCCATGGACAGAGAGCCTGGTGGGCTACAGTCCATGGGGTCGCAAAGAGTTGGACATGACGGAAGCAATGTAGCATGCACGCACCCATGTGCACCAAGCTAAAGCCCTATCCAGATATGACTTCCTGGACCAGTGCCCATCTTTTATGGATCCATCAAGGTGATGGATCTGCCCCACATTTTTGGAGATATACCATTTGTAGATTATTTTGCCACTTCTCCTATTTTTCCCTCTCTTATGAATGGCTTTTGTGTATTGTGCTTCTCATTAGTCATTCCACCAAAGGAATTAGAGCAGAGCTAAGAAGCAAATCAGTCTACCTGTGAACTCTTTAGCAACTCCCCCAAGGTTTGGGTGAAAGAAGGCTGCAGAAGACATCCATGCCCCCTCTGGTTATAATTTCTAAAAGGCCAAGGAGGAATTGCTAACATCGAGACCAAGACTAGACCTTGATTCGTCTACACAGACTGACATCGTGCATCATTTCAGACCTCCCACACCCTGAACACTCACACACCCATCTCTTTGCTCCTAGAGTCGTTTAGAGCCAGATTGGCATAATTATCAGTATATGTCTCACTCCCCATTTACTACTATCAAGATATGATTATGGCACCAAACACTCAGATATGCAGACTGGATCAAGCAGAGAAAATTCAAGATCAGATCCCCTTATGGAAAACGTCTACTCCTACTTCGAAAGGCGTCACTTAGGTTCCTGGTCTTCAAACTGTGCTGAAATTAGAACAATTCAAAGTCCACTGAAGCCTCTCAACAGCTGTTTTAAGAGCTTGAGAAACGAGGATTATTACTGCCTAATAAAATAATGGGAGTATTTCAGGATTTAAAAAGATACACTGATTGCAATTAAGAGCAGTTTTGAAAACTGACTGAATTTAATCTCCTTTCGAAAAATAGGAGAAGAGAAAGAATATAGTTGATTTCTCTGCCAGACCCTTCTCTCTTGCCCCAGGATATGTTTAATATAAGAAATCATAGGTTTGACCTTTCCCAGAATTTCTTCCCTAACCCTAGGCTCTTGGATCTTCTCCTGCTCTGTGATTTACTGGATTTTTTTTTAATATACCACCTCTTATTGAAGATAAAACAGGCAGTTCCCACTGTACAACAAAATGAATCAGCCATACATAAATGTATATCTCCTCCTCTTGGCCTTCCTTCTCCTTCCGGTCACCACAGTATTTTAAGCAGAGTTCCCTGTGCTATCCAGGTTGTTCTCAATAGTTGTCTATTTTATATATAGTATCAATAGTGTATATATATCAGTCCCAGTCTCCCAATTCATCCCACCCTCTGCCCTTTTCTTCCTTGGTATCCATATAATTGTTCTCTACATTGTCAAGCAACCACAGTCCAATAAAAATTAATAAAAAAAAAACTTAATGGAGATTCCACAAAGCTTTGGTTTAGGTGAATTACATTTATTGTATTTGTAATAATAGAAATTCAAACTGAATTTGTCATTTAAAATAAAATACTAAACCTTAAAAAAAAAAACCCAGCACTTCCCCAACTCATGTCGCTATTGTTTTTTTTTTTTTTTATACAGCGAGAGGTAGAATGACTCATTTCTTCTCTGACTGGTGGCTGTCTGGCCCTTGGTGTAGACAAGTCTTCAAATAAGGCTCTTCAAGGCCACCCTTCGTGGTCATAAAGGACAGCCCGTGTGACCAAAGCTGGAATCAGCAGGTGATGTCCCCTCATGAGCCCTTGAGGGCAGCTGAGCAAAGGGGAATTTCTGAGGATTCTTATTGCCCAAGAGGAGAATGAAACATGTGAGGTAAAATAGACTATACTTAAATACTTGGGCCAGTTTATGAACTATTCTGCCACCCACCAGCTCATCTTAGAGGGTGCCACCGTGGGGGCATGGGTCTTCTGGAACTGGAAGGCTTTCATCAGGCCCCTTTCCTGGGACGTCTCATGTCCCGAGCTTGCTCTCACCTCCATGGCAGCTGCCGCCATCGGAAACCGCTGAGAAGCCCCTCCTGGGAAGTTCCACACCTCAGGACATTGCGGTCTGAACATCTGAGGGGACTGCTGAGCCAACATGAGCCCAACTGTATATAGTAACTGAAAAGGCTGGATTTCCTCCTTGTGAAAATAAGTGCCATTTCCCCCTGAGTTCTGGTTAAAGTAAGCTGGAATTTCCCCTCACTTCCTACTCTTTCTTCTTCTGAGGTGGAGGGGCAGGGTGAGAAAAAAATGAGGAGACTGCGATGGAGCAGAAGCAGCTCTGGAGGCATCTCTGAAGGCTCAGGCTCATCAGAGGAGTTTCGTATTCCCTCAACTTTTGTAACAACACAGGATAAAAAATCAGAACAGGCTAAAGAATAACCTATTCTACGCTTGCAGTAGTTACTAGGGTCTGGCACTGGGTCAAGAACCTTACAGCTCACATCTCATTTAATTCTCTTTATGAGGTGAGGAAAAGGAGTCCCATTTGAGAGATGAGCAGTCAAGACTCAGAGAGATTTAAGAACTTGATTCAGATTTTACAAGCTGGCAAATCATTAAGCTAACATTTGAACCCAGGACGATTTCCTGGGGTTTGCCTGTTCAATCATTAACATACTGGTTACATCCCCACTCTTTTTTTCAGCTTGGCCAACTCCTACGCTTCCCTTATGACAAATAAACAACGACCCTTCTGGGAAGCTTTCCTGACACGCCGAGCAAGTTGAAGTGTTGTTGTGTGTCCTCAGTTCTTTGTATCTGCTTCTCTTAAACACGCTGTGTTGTATTTATGACTTTCCCCAGACAGATTCTACACATTCATCCTGCATCTCTTCTGCCATCTCCCTGAGTTCTCAGCACCAGGCAGTTGCCACAGCCCACTGTCGGTGTTTAATTAATTTTTAAAATGTTGAATAATTAAATGTAATATTGACGAAGAAAAAAAAGATAATCGGCAGTTTTTGAGCCAGTAACTGTGCTAAGAGAGTTCTTGAGCAGCAGTCTCCCCACCCATCCATCTTGGAACCTTATGCTCCAGGACTCTCCTAAGAGGCTCCTCCCATGACTCTACAGCTGTGGTCCAACCACCCCACCATGTGCCTGTGAGTCCCCGTGGATGGCTGAGCAGGAGGAGTTATTTTAGAAATATCTGTCTGAATAGAGTCCGATTAGATCCTCGAAATAGCCAAAGCAAAATCCCAGAAAACCACGCTCCTGGTCAGACTTGATCAGACTACCGAAGGACAGGGCTTCCCTGGAGGGCATCACTTGCCTTATTTGAGTCTGTTCTGTGCCTGTGAAGTCCTGGAATAAACTATGGCATCATTTTAAGGGCTCTCTCTCCCCAACACCTGCCTCTTTTTATTATACTCCAGCGAGTCCTTCGGAGACACAGGGAGTCCCTCACACTCAAAAGGAGCTCTGTCCAGACTCCTTCCCTGTCACTTGTCCTAAAGGTGCTTTCCTGTCTTCCTGGGCTTAGCAATATTCCCAAACCTCAGATGTCCTCCTCTGAGGGGGCTCTTTTCATTGAGGTGGTTTCTTTATTTCCCCCATTTTAAACATGGAACAGTTCATCTGACCTCTTGGCAGGATACCTGCTAATCATTTCCAGAAATGGGAATTTTAGGATGTGATGGCATGAACCCAAATGACCTCTGAAAGAAAAAGCTTTCCTATGTTCCTCCAAAAAGTTGCAATTGCTCTGAGAGAGCCAG